GAGGGGGGATCGGGATGGGGAACACATGTAAATCCATGGCTGATTCATGTCAATGTATGACAAAACCCACTGAAATGTTGTGAAGTAATTAGCCTCCAACTAACAAAAACAAATGAAAAAAGAAAAAAAAATCAAATCAAAACTACAAGGAGATGAAGAAAATTAAAATTCAAAAAGATGCATGCCCTGCAATGTTCACTAGAGCACTATTTACAACAGCCAGGACATGGAAGCAACCTAAGCGCCCATCAATGGAGAAATGGATAAAGATTGTGGTACACATATACAATAGAATATCACTCAGTCATAGAAAAGAACAAACGAACACCACTTGCAGCAACACTGATGGACCTTGAGATTGTCATACTGAGTGAAGTGAGACACAAGAGAGATAAATGAATGACACTGCTTATACACGGAACCTGAAAAAGGGTGCAAATGAACATACTCACAAAACAGAAGCAGAGTCACAGATGCAGAAAACAAACATGATCACCAGAGGACAAAGTGGGGAGGGAAAACTTGGGAGACTGGTATTGACACAGACATTCTACTACATATAAAATAGATAACTAATACAGACCTACTGTAAGGCACAGGGAACTGCACTCCATAATGGCCTATTATGGGAAAAGAATCTAAAAAAAGAGTGAATTTTATGTAGTATATGTATGACTGATTCACTCCGCTATACACCTGAAACTAACACAGCACAGTAAATCAACCATACTCCATACATATCTCTAATACGGCAAACTTATGATATTTTACCATTCCTAAATGTATTTAGTAATACATTTATTTACACAGATATTTACAAAGACAAATAAAAATCACATTTACACTTTAAACAAACAAACAAACAAAAAACACCTACCAGGAGAACCCACTTAACATTCATAAGAATAGCTATAATCAAAAAGATAACACCATCCAGACCTGGGACTCCAAGAGCCCGGGGGTGGTTGCACGGAGCTGGCCAGGAGAGAGGGCCGGCTCGGGTCTGGCCCGCTCCACTCACAGCCTCCTTGTCGCCAAGAAGGGTGGCAAGAAGGCGGCTCGGTCCACCACCAACAAGGTGGTGACCAGAAAATACACCACCAGCCTTCACAGGAGCTCCCATGGAGCGGCTCTTGAGAAGCGTGCCCCTTGGGTACTCAAAGAAATGCTGAAATTTGTCACGAAGGAGATGGGAGCTCCAGATGTGTGTGCTGACACCAGGATCACAAAGCTGCTGGGCCAAAGGAATAAGGAATCTCCCATACTGTGTGCAGTTGTCAGAAAACATAAGGAAGACTCACCACACAAGCTCTGTATGTTGGTTACCTACGTATCTGTCACCATCATCAAAAATCTACAGATGGTAACTGTGGATGAAAACTAACCAGTAACTGTCAAATAAAGTTACAGAACTGCAAAAAAAAAAGGAAAGATAATAACAAGCATTGACGAGGATACAGAAACTGAAACTCTCTTACAGTGCTGGTAAGATTGTTAACTAGCACAACCACTGTGGAAAACAATCTGGCAGTTCCTCAAATAGTTAAACAGTTAGCTACCCCATGACCCAGTACTTCTCCTTCCTAGGCACATAGGAGAACTGGAAACATGTCCACGTAAAAACTTACATGTGAATGTTCATAGCACCATTACTCTTTAACAGCCAAAAAGTAGAAACAACCCAAATGTCCATCAGCTGATGAACGGGTAAGTAAAAAGTCTGTCCATAAGGTGAAATATCATTCAGCAAAAACAAAATATGAAGTACTGACCCATGCTACAACATGGACATTGAGGACATTATGTTAAGCTAAAGAAGTTAGTCACAAAAGAATACAAGTTGTAGGATTCCATTTATTCGAAATGTCTAGACCAGGCAAATCCAGAGAGACAGAAGAATTGCTGCCTGGGGCGGGGGAGGTCAGGGAAAACGGGGGTGACTCGGGTGATGAAAACGTCCAAGACTGATGGTGACACAGCACTCTGGGCATCCAGTGGAACCTCTGTATATTTTAGTAGATGAACTGCATTAAAACTGTTAAGAGTTAAAAAGCCCCTTGGACCAGTTCTTTGACATTCTAAGTGCAAACTGCTCACTTTTATTACAGGAAGAAGAAACTCCCGTCAACATGAAAATGGGAAAAGCAAATTTGAGTAAACTGAATTGGACAAAAAAATCACATCACTGGAAACGGGGGCTGAATGTTCACGAAACACTCAGAAATGACAAGAAATAACAGTGTGACACCACGAAGCATTCTGCTGCAAATGCCGATAAGGGCTCGGAAGCTGAGCTGTGAGAAATGGCTGGAGGAGAAGCCAGGTTCGCTCTTGCTGCGCCCCACCAAACATGCACCGGAGCCAGCAGCCAGGGGCTGTCCAACCCCTCCTTCCAGCCTGAGATGCTGTGCGGAAAGAGGGCAGCAAAACCTGAGACAGTCTGCTTCACGTAACTCATTCCCTGAAAGTTCAAAGATTAAAGGGCAGTGATCTAGCTCCGGGCTGGGTTTTCTATGGAGCCAAACGAGAGGACACCAGTCGTCGAGAGGCAGAGGTGGAGCGCACGGCTCCCCACCAGCAGGCTTCCCACCCACACGGGTTCCGAGGGCAGAGGAGACGAGCCTAACATCTGAGACAGGAGACGCTGGCGAGTGAAGAGAGGACGCGGCCAGCCCTGGACAAAGGCCCTGCGAGCACAGGCTAGAAGGCGCCTGGTGAACTGGTGTGGCCCGGGGCATGAAAGGACTGGGGGGTGGGTACAGAATCTCAACCTCCCCTCGCTCTCCCTGGGGAGGAGAGGCCCAGGCTGCGTCCTTCTCGCCTAGAACCATGACGGAGGGCACCCTGGGACACCAGACCCCGGCTCTCAGGCCAGCTTCAAGCTCTCCCACAGGATCCTGACATGCGCCTGAACAACAGCGCCCACAGAAACACCCCCACCACTCTCTCACTTACTCAAGACTCACTTTCATCTCAATACCACCTTATCTTGGAAAGTTGCAGAAGTAAAACATATTACATTCTTCCTTTAATCTCAACGTGTGACTGATTTTTCTGACATCTCTAAGCTCCTTCTACTTAGTAAAGCACCCAGTTCCCCTGCAAGTGAATCCAGGACTTCCCGTCAGGCGAAATCAGCCAGTGTGGTCTTGATAACTTCTACTGGTCGAACACCAAAACATCTAACACTGATTTCATTGTTCATCGGTTTCAGCCAGGAGGTGCAGGAGTGTCCAGCTACAAAGCCCAACCTCAGCTGCTTTCTCATCAGCAACTCGGGTCTCCTGAAAACACTACAAAGCATCTGCTTCCCTTCCTACACATAGGAAGAGAAACACTTCCACAAACTCCATCAGGAACATCAGCCTAGAGGAAGAATGCAACACAAACGTTAAAACAAAAATCTACAAACCTGAAGCAGTTTCATCTCAGAAGCAAGATATACAATGAGATGAAAGAAGGTGTGTTGGTCACAAAGCACATGTAAGCATGACCACCTGATTTCTATCCTTCAAAGGATGGGAGGGTTTTCTTTTTCTTTTTTTTAATGACTCTGTCATTGTTTCCAATTAAGCCAGAAAATAATAGATCTCATTTTGAAATACTTACACACTGCAATAAAAGAGATTTTTGCTATATTAATTAAAGAAGACATTAAGATGGGAAAGGAAAACCCACCTCTGCAAAAAAAAAAAAATGCACAATGTCTTTCCCTGTTAGCACACACACGAAATGCAGCAGAGAGTTCAAATTCACATTGAGAGGAGCGTAAGCCACAGAATCAGAGCAGAATCATAACTTCAAAATTAACTGGACAGGCATGCTCAGTGCATTCAGAGAATTTTAAAGGCACACTGCAAATCATTCACTTAACCATGCTGGAGGAAGGACCTCCCCTCTTGGACAGACAACATAAATCAATAGGGTGCCCCATCAAACAAGGAACAAACAGCAATCACGTTTGTAACTGTTCTGATTTAAAGTTACTTAAATCAGCACGTTCCAAAGATCACAATCCAGAAACTTTAACCATTCATTCACACCACCATGAAACAAGCACTTAAAAAAAATAACCAAGAGAAACTAAGCACATAGATCATGTACCTGGGTCAATGAGAACTTCTTGGGCCCCTGGAAGAAAGAACAGATTATGATCTTTTATCTGAAAAACAAAACCACTTTTAAAGATAACTACTAAATCACATTTCATAATTCACATAGCCTTGAAAAATCTGAGACACTTCTGTCTGATCAGAAAAACAATTCTGAGTAACTGTATGTTACAATTCAATGCCTTTATGCTTTAGAAGGAAAAAAAGGAAAGCTAATGGTTCTCATACCCTGCACAAACCACAATGTGCCTCCCTGTCTGCTTCCCGCCCCACTGTCTAAGCTCATACTCCCCGACTCCTCTGAAACAAGTATGACAATTTCTTATTCCCACAAATACGCCAAATGACAGAAGTGAAAGTGAACTACCAATTTATTTGTGTAAATAAATGCCCACACCTTGGTCTGAAGGAGAAAGGTATCAGATGGCTACATGGAACTTATTTCTCCTTTCCTGAAATCACACTCACACACACACACGCACTCACACACACACACTGAATTACTGGACACTTCACAAGTTGAGGATTTTCAATTTCTAGAAGGTAGCTCTGTAGTCAGTCTACAACACAAAACTGTTAACTTCATTAATTATCAAGAAGGCTTTGAAAGCCTCGATCATCTGCTGAATCATCCAAATATCAACGAGACCCAGTTAGCCTTCTCCGTAGAGTGCAATTTCTCATGATGGCAAATCACACCGTAAGAGGCACTTAGATCCAAGAATTCTGCCGATCATCAGCTCTGATAGTTTTTAAACACATTAACAAGATTCACAAAGCTGCGTCCCAGTAACACAGTTGTATTGAAATAGCACATGTATTCAACTGTCCACACAGAGAACAGCTCCCAGGATGCTACTTAAGAGCGACTTTGTGTACTGCAATCTTTATTTTTAAATGTAGACTAAAAATCACTGCAATCCAGAAGCCACCATTATAATAAGAAACAGGTGCTTTCCATCATTAACACTATACACCGAACGCAACGCCTGATAGCCATCACGTGTGACTGTCAGGGCAGCCCTACAAGGCAGGTGGGGATGAGAAAGGCTGTGGGGCGGACGGACTGATGGACGGACGGGGAGCCAGGGGAGCAACTTCATCACGGCCCCCGACAACGCCACCAAGTCCGCACCAAAAGGGTACTGGCTGTGGGGAACCTCGGGATTTCCAGATGTGCTAAAAACGCCCTGCTCAGTGAAAACTCTGGTCAAATATAGTATCCTGTGCCACATCCTTTAAATAGGAGACCTTTTTCCTTTTGATGCCTCAGAATCATTATCACAATCATCAATTACTCAACCCCTAAGGGCGTCCAGGGGTGAAGGGGGTCCCATGCTAACTGCACTGAGACTGCAGAGCTTTTCAGGCTGTTTTATGAAGTTTGTAAAAATCTTTCTATCTCATGACTCACCCAGGCGGTCAACTACCACTTCTTAGTGGTGTGAATGTACCACCTGAAATGACCCTTTACTGCCTTTTAAACTAATTCATCTAATCCGATCTTCTCAAACAACAAAGAACAAGCTCAGCCACAAAAAATGGACTGCCTTCTACCAGCTGGACTTTAACTGAACTCCCTGGAATCTCTTTCCTTTCATTAAACCCACTTCTAGGTACAGGACAGTCTTCTGATTGGTGGGCTCTGCTAACTCTGGGCTACTCAGAAGCTTCTCATCTCATGTCCGTGTGTGAGGGGGTGTGGAGATAATAATGGGCACTGTCTGAAGAAATCACAATGAGAAACAGGACACCGTCCAGCCAGAGCTCCATGGGTACCTTAGTGTGCTCAGAGATTATATTATCAGCATCATCCGCCTCCGATGGACAGGTTTCAGATTAACCAAACTCGAACAGACCTGCTGCTTAGACCACGAAAAATGAGGGTCACGGTGCATGGACCCTGGCTGAGACACAGCTGTGAATGCCTGTGTAACTCTCCCTTTCCCGCCATTTCCAGGCTGACTGATGGACAGGTGTATGTACAGATCCACAGACAGGCTGAACTCAAAGCCTGGAGCCAGACTGCCGGGGTTTGAATCCCAGCTCTGCTGCTTGCCAGCTCTGTGACCTTGGTCAAATCACTTACCCTGTCTCTCTGTGCCTCAATCCCCGCATCTGTAAAACTGGGATCATAATCAAACCCACCTCATTTGATGGTTGTGAGGATTACGGGATTAAAGCAGTGCCTGTAAGATGCTTAGAAAGTATGCAGCACACTTCAGGTGCTCACAAACGGAGCCTATGAAGCGTGTGTGTGTGCTCAGTTGTGACCAACTGTTTTGTGACCCCAGGGGCTTCGTCCTCCACGCTCCTGACCTCTGACCCACAGCCAGCCCTCCTCACACAAATGGGCTAAGGAGTGGGCTCGGGGAGTTTGGGAGACAAGGGGGACACGGGAAACCTTTCTAGCCCAGGTGCTGGCCCCGCTCGGGAAGCGCCCAGGATGCTCAGCTCCATGACGTGACAGCCCCGAGCACAGAGGGGACAGGTCCCCTCACGAGGGCCCGCTGTGACCCAGAGCAGCCTCTCCAGCTCCAGGACACAATATTAAGACACCCGTTTCCCCGAAGCCCTGAAGTGCAGGGAGAATGAGGCCTTATCGGTAAAAAGAGAACATTTCCTCCAGCCTCTACACTTTTGCTCCATCTCTCAGTTGGCTGGTGGAGAAAATAGGAGTGTAATTACTGGGCCCACCTGAGCCCCAACATGAATTAATTAGCCAAAAATGGTGCGGCTTAATGTTCAGGGTGACTGTATAGTGGCCTCATTCCGATGCTGCTGCAAAATTATGAGTATAGGAACTACTGACCCTCTTCAAATATTTTACCCATTTCTTAATTGGATCTTTCATCATAAAACCAGCTTTCCCTGTTTTAATTCCTTCGTAATTGCTAAAGACTGTAAAATGATGGCTTCACACCAAACAAGAGCTAAGGATTTGTGCTCTTTTGAGATAACCACCATGCTAAACACTTCACATAACTTCTAGTTCTCACCATTCTACAAAGCAGGCAGTAGCATCTCTATTTTACACACAAGGGGGAAACTCAGAAAGAAATGACTCAAGTTGGCATGGCTAAAGGGATAGCATGTGAATTCAACCCAAGTCAAAAAAACCACCCTCCCTCCTACACCAACCAAATCACGTCCCACTGATTAATGCACAGCAGAGGGTTCAATACTCAGAGAGTTCAACACATTTTTCTGCTTTAAGGTGCTCCAGGGACCACTTCTGTTTTATAAAGTCATGGCTCACTGGTTTCTAATATTGGAAGAAAAGTCCAATTTCACCATTGTTTGCACAGCAAGCCTGAAATTTTCACACTGAGATGACAGAATAAAAATAAGGTATAAATAACTAGAATAATTCTTCCAGGTAACCAGACATAGTGGACAATGTGCTATCCTGAAGCACTAAACAAAGTCAAATTAAAGAACTGTCAGTTAAATCTTCCACAAACAGGAAAAGGAAGACCTTTTAAAGGTGCAACAGCGCCACCTATGGCCTGAAGGCTTTCTGTATAATAAAGGATTAATAAAAGGGTTTCAAAAATAGGAGACTCAGAGCCTATAACCCAAAGCTTATATACTACTAGCACACACTGAATTCTGCTTCAGGGGAGGGAATAGAATTCAGTATTTAATCTGAAGTTGTTAACACTCCTGAACATAAACAAAAGACACAGGCTCTGCAAACTGATCTTAGAAGAAGGAATCCGCCTCTTCGCCTTATAGGCGGGGAGGCTGAGACCCAGGCCGTCCTCCCAGCAGGCAGCTGTGCAGCTCTGAGCATCCTCAGGCTCTGCATCCATGAAAGGCGGGTCTGCAGGCCTCCACGAGCAGGTCGTCCAAGTGTCTGGCAAAACATCTCCCCAAGAGTAGCGGGAATGTAGTGAAAGTCACTCAGTCACGTCTGACTCTGCGGCCCCATGGACTATACCCCACCAGAACCCTCTGTCCATGGAGCTCTCCAGACAAGAAGACTGGAGTGGGTCACCATTCCTGTCTCCAGGAGATCTTCCTGACCGAGGATCGAACCTGGATCTTCTGCATTGTTTACCATTCGAGACACTCCCAAGGAGTGGTTAACTGTAAACCATACAATCTTGTTGAAATAAATTAAACATTTATTTATATATTAAAACACTATGAGCTCTACTTTTATTCTCTCTATAAAAGAAAAGTGACAGATGTCAAATCAACATTTTGATTACTTAAAACCGATTTAAGGGTACAGGAAAAAAATCGGAATTTTAACTACCAAAGAAATAAGCTTATTCTCTCAAAGTAATCAATAGTGATTTTTCTAAGGGCCAGTGGCTGTGGTCAAATTCCTAGCAATTAAGAGGTTCTAGTGGATGATTACACAGCAATATGGATTATGAGTTGTAAAAAATGTATGTTCTATACAAATAATCTTCAAGTTCTTCAGCTTTCGACCATTTAGCTAGTCCCTAGCTAAAGGAAGGCACTCATTTCATCAAAACTTCCTACTGCACTAAAAAAAGAAGTAACTGAATCCTTGTCACTTTAAGTCACATTCATATAAAGTATATACACAGTGAATATGCATCAGTATTTCAGTTGATGCTTCTAAATTATCTGTCATTGTGACAGCAAGTTTTTACTGAACATCTCTTGAGTGCTTAATACAAGGTATCTGACTCAGGCAAGGTAAATAACATTCTTCAAATTTCACAAATGAGGAAATATACTTAAGCCATTAAAAAAAAATCTTGCATATTCATCATAAGGAGAGAAAACAATAAAAATTTAACTTTCCCTCAACACTCAGTGATTTAATCCTTTCTTCCATACTACAGACTACATAAAACCAATTCAGTCTTTGTAACTTTTCCTTTCAACAAGCCTCACGAGAGAAAAACAAGTGGTAGGTTTGCATTTTCAAAGCCCACTTACTGTTTGCACTGTAATCACTTTCAATGTTTTGTTTTTCGTGCTTATAGAGTTAAAAAATCCTAACTTTTTAGGTCATTAGCTGAGAATAAAACATTTGCGAAAATATACAATGTTAATCTATGCTGCTCTGTCTGGTGTTCTCACCAGGATCTCTGCTTTGAAGGCCTCATCAGGCTGAGATCACTAAAGCCAGTCATTTATGAACACGCTGCAGTTTGGGAAGCCAGTCAACGGGAGGCTGATTAGAGGAGCAACTGAGGACGCACACTGGTGGTCACCCCGGCCTGGCTCCAGCCCCAAGTCTGCCCCTGAGAGGGGGGTGATTCAGACCAAGTGACCCATCTGCTTAAACCTCAGTCCCTCGCCTGCAAAAAGGAGTTACTGCTAACTACCTTCAAATACCTGCTATGGGGTAAAACCTAAGGAAGCAGTTAGCACAGCCTGGCTGGGGGGAGGTGCCAAATGCTTCCTGGCTGTTTTGGTGATTATGGGTGATGATGCTTGCTGTTAGTAATTTAAGCTAGTCCAAAGAGGAGGAATATTTGTAAGCCAATAAGCATTTCCTTTTGGACTGATTGTATGATGTCCTATTGATTTTTTAATAAAGCAAGTTTTGTACATTAATTATAGGCTTAAAGGTTCATGAACGAGTCTCCAGAAAAACAATGAGTGGCCTCTAACCTCTGAATACAAGAAAGTGAAGTTTTGTCAAAAAAAAAAAAAAATCAATGGAAGGAGAATTAAAGTGAAAAGAGGGACTACAGAATGCATTTTGAAACTAAACTCAATTTTAAGGGGGGAAAAAATCCCTTTTCTCAAGTGAAATCTTGAAAAGTACATAAAGCAGATCTGAGATATCTAGAGTCTTTTAACTTTATTCATGGATTCATATCACCAAGTCTTAAAACTACTCGACAATCAACAATAACACTATTGACAATAACAGCCACCAACATTTATCCAGGACTGGTTGGGACTGTGCAGGTCCTTTCCACGTGTGTCTCACTCAGCCTTCACAAGGACCCGCTGAGGGAAATACAACTGTTATCTCCCCCATCTCACAGGTAGGGAAACTGAGGCCCAGAGATTAAACTGGCTCCAGGTCACATTGGCATTAAAGGACATCTGTATTTTCGCTGCTTTGCTGGTGAAGGAGGAACCTGAGACAGAAATTCAAGGAAGAACGTTAAACAATCAGACTGTCTCATCTTAATCTCAAAGAGCAGATCCGTAAACTCCTGGTATGAGATGGGGCGACCACTACAAACTGACTAATCTTGAAATCTGCACCCAAGATGAAGTAACACGGACATATACGCTCATGATATCAAACGCGCGCACAGCTCTGGACCCTTTACTGCCTGAAAGGTGGTGAGACCATCTCCGATCTAAACAAGGGCAGCGTGGCTTTTCTGCTCCCATCCAAGCCTTGCTGGGTGACCTTCTCCTCGGGCTGCCTCCAACAATAAAAGTTCTCAAGTGCTGCACACCACGCAAGGCTAAATAAAGACTTTTCTCTACTGCAGACAGAGCACTTTTCAGGTTTAAGACATTTTTTTTTTGCCTTTATTCAGCAGGAGAAACTGAAACATTACCCTAAAAGGTCTCCAGAATCTCACTAGTCATGTGAGTGGCACAGTCATACCACATTTTCTCTCCAAATCTCAGGGAAAGGATAAAACAAAAGGCATCCCAGAGACAGTGCTCTTCCTGGAGAAACCCAGGGATGGAGGAGCCTGGTGGGCTGCCATCTACGGGGTCGCACAGAGTTGGACACGACTGAAGCAACTTAGCAGCAGCAGCAGCGAGAGAGAGCAGACTCTGCAGAGGAGAGAAGTCGGCTGTCCCCTGGGTTGGGGATTTAAGCACTGGGCTACTGGTTGAAATGCCGAAATCTTGTCGCAGTTATAACAACACGGGAAAAACACAGGTGGTGAGCACCAACCAGAGGCATCCCCAGTCAGAACCAGAACACGGGGCAGTGGGGAGCAGAGGCCTTCTAGACCTCAGATTTCATCACTTCACCTGCTTTACCCTGCTCTCCAGTGACTGAGCCCCCACTAGACCCGTTAAGAATGATCTGCTGAAGGATGATAAAACATCTTCCAGAGCCATCAGAGGCTTATCTAAGCAGTCTGACACAGAATTCAGACCAAGTAGCTACAAAGACTGACTCATAAAGGTGGTCTCCGCAGTCTTTGCTGGTGTCGGGGAAAATGGTGAAACTGAGGGGAAAAAGAAATGTAAGGCATTTCCCTTCCAATACTTATCAACTGTCACGGGCTTTCTCTTTGAGGGTTAAAAAAAAATCTATAAAAATCTCATGGATCAAAAAACACCTATTAGTTTTATGTATAGCCTTGACCTCTGCATTCTGTTACTATCTTTGTGACCTGTGAGGTAGCACAACTATATCCTGAATGTTTATGGCAAATTTATTCGTTAAGGGTCAAAAGGGTCAAGTTCACAGAACAAGCGTCTGTGGGTCTGCTCCTCCAAAGATGATTTTTTACTCTCTCTAGATGCTAACAAAACATCAGCAAATCAAACTTCACTGATTCAGAGAACTCCATCAACCAAAAAAAAAAAAAAACAGCCCCTGGACCCTCAGCTACCTGTTAAAATTGACATCAAGGACTCCCTTCACCAAATACCCAGAAACAATGACAAGGACCCAGACACAGAACTTCAAAGTCAGTCTACCATGAAATTTCATGCGGCTGCTCCAAAAATCAACCCATCATTGCAATCCATTAATATCATTTGATAAGACTTAATAAGATCAATACGTATTTTAACAGGATCAGAAGACAAGGCCTCACTGCAGGGTTTCTGATTCAGCAGATTCTACTCTTTATTCAAACAGCAGGCAGCCTTCGCTCAGAGGGGACTGCAGAAATTGCTCCTGCTTGAGGACACGGGGCCCAGCCCAGGGCAGGGGCGGAGCTCACCTGGTCGATGTCTGTTGGCCGCTTCTGCAGGAAGCACACTCCCCGGGAACCTGCGAGCTCCAGTTTTACCGCCAGTTCCACCAGGGTAGTGATAGATGACAGAGGCCGAACACAACCCTTCCAGAGCAGCTGGGCATTAAACAAAGGGTTCAGTTAATAAAGTTCGCAGCCCATCGTTAGCCAAAAATTATGCTAAGAATGATGTGAGCAGTCTGATGATGTGGAAAATGCCAGCTTTCCCCCAAAACACAGGTCAAACCTACAGATGGCTGGTTTTGTTACAAACAGGACCAAAGCCCCTATCATGTCTGGTGGGCCTGGGTCAAAGCTGGCAGCACAGAAAGCTCTCATGATGCTCGAGGTCTCAGTGAGGGGCTGAGCACAAGCCAAACAGGCCGTTCATTCCTTTCACCAGCAGTCAGTCCAGTTCACATTGTGCGGCAAGCTCTGTGCCGGAGGACGACACTGCAGGTGGGCGGAGCGGAAAGTGCCCCGCGTCAAAAGGATCCTTGACACCATACCAGTGGACCACACCGCAGGACCAGAAGAACACCTCTCCGCATCACTGACCCTGACAGCATCCACCCATTTGAAGCAAACCCCTGGCAGGCCGTCTCCTCCTTAGAGGGGGCCCCGCAGGGCTGCTGTGACGTGCCCACCTTCCATTGCTGGAAGTCACACCCCAACAACCTCGGGCTGGGCCACCCGCCCCACAAGTCCTGTGCAGTGTTCGTCTTTATCCAGCAGCTCAGAGGTTCTCAAACGTTTTGGTCCCAGAACTCCTGGATGCTTTTTTTGTGCAGGTTACAACTGCAGATACTTACCATGTTTGAAAATAAAACTGGAAGAAGATTTAAATATTTACGTGTTCAAACATTTTAGAAAATAATAAGCCCGTTACATGCTAAATTTCAATGAATAATAACTATGCTTCAGAACAAAAACGATATGCTGGAAGTGTGACACTTTTGCATTTTTTACAAATTCCTTAATGTCTGATTGAAGACAAGTGTGCTGGATTCTCACACCTGCTTCTGTGGTCGATCTGCTGTGACATCACAGGTCCCGGGGTCCCTGGGAGACCCCCCCCCCCGCATGTTTCTGAGGGACCCAGAATGAAAAGGCCACCCGCGCTAGGGTCTCCCACTCACACCACCTTCACGGAACCTGACCGGCCTTCCTCACTAGGTGGGACAGGGGCCCAGTGGCATTCTCTGGGGGCAAGTGCCTAGGCGGCAACCCTACTCCACCAGCCCGGAACAATTCGGTACAGACCTCTCCTTCAGGAGACAGGAAGACTCGCCATCTTCCTCCTGCTTAGTCCTTTACCAGTTTCTCATTTTTTTCCATCTGTTCCTTCTCTTCCCTATCTCCTTTAAGAAGCCAAATTACAAAATTCAAGTCCATTTTAAAATTTAGTGTGTTCTATGTCTGTTGCTCAGTCATGTCCAACTCTGTGCCATTCTACGGACTGTATGTAGCCCACCAGGCTCCTCCACCCATGGGATTCTCCAGGCAAGAATGTTGGAGTGGTTTGCCATTTCCCTCTCCAAGTGTGTTCTACGGGACGCCGCTAATCTTGTATTAAAGAACTTCACTGCTTCCTTCTGACTTGTATTTACTGTAAGTGGCTGATGGGCCCTCTGACTGAGCTGCTGGCCTCTTCCAGGAAAGAGCCCTATTTCAGGGCTCACTGGCACTGCACTCATTTAACAAGCATTTTCAGAACACCTACAACACATTTGCTGATAGGCACGCACAGACCACGCCTCCCACTCCCGCCTGCAAGGAGACAGTCCCTGAAGGACAAAAACAGGCTAACAGGCAGCCCCAGCATGGAAAGTAAACTCCGTGCAGACGGGATTCTGTACAAGACCCACTGCACCCACTGCGTGGAGGGGTCAGAAGAGGCTGTCCTTTGAAGCAGCTTTTTTTTAAGTTTTTTTAGTTGAGATGTAATTCACCCAGTCAAAAGTATACGATTCAGCAGTTTTGTGCGTTCACTGCTGTGCAACCCTTGACACTGTATAATCCCAGAACCTTTCCACCTCCGGCAGAGAAAGCCCTCTCCCATCAGCAGACCCTCCCCATCCCCATCTCCCCCTCCCCCCGCACCCCCATCTCCCAGCCCAGACAACCAGTCATCTGCTCTCAGCCTCAGGTCTGCCTGTGCAGACGTTTCAGATCATCAGAGTCACACGCTAGGCGGCCTTTTGTGTATGGCTCCTTTTACTTGACATGATGTTATCAGGGTTTGTCCTTGTGGTGGTGGTATCACTATCTCACTGCTGTTTATGTCTGAACAGTGTTCCACTATATGCATGCACCGCATTTTGTTCATCCATTCATCAGCTGACCTATGGATGAGGTTTTGAAGAATGAATCTAAGAGGTGACTAACGTGGGGAGTGGCATTCTAAGCAGAGGGCAAGATGTGCTTTAAAAAATTGTTGTTTAGTCGCTCAGTCGTGTCTGACTCTTTGCAACCTAATGGACTGTAGCCCACCAGACTCCTCTGTCCGTGGATTCTCCAGGCAAGAAGACTGGAGTGGGTTGCCACTTCCTTCTCCAGGGGATCTTCCCGACCCAGGGATCAAACCCATGTCTCCTGCATCTCCTAAACTGGCAGGAGGACTCTTTATCACTGAGCCACCAAGGAAGCTTTAAAAAATAAATAAATAGAAAGCAAAAAAAAAAAAACAAAGCAACAAGAAAGTTCGGTGCATCTTAGGGAGAGCCTCCATCCTGGATTCAGCAGGATGGAAATGCAGGTGCGAGTGGGAAAGGGTGAGGCCGTCACCACGAAGATTCCCCACTGCAGCCAGCTCAGCGGACAGCTTTCCCGCCCTCACCCTGTGTTTTTAGAGCCATTTTTCCAAGGCTTTCTCTTTTTCCACATATCAGTTGCTACCACGGCGTATGTGGTCGTCTTCACCCAGGTCCTCTCACCTCCAAGCCACAGGAAGTCATTCACCGAGCGGAGCAGCTCCACCGCCACGTGGTAGTGGACCAGGGAGTCCTGCAGCATCCCGGCCTGCAGGCACAAGTCCCCCACGTGCTTCCGCATGCGCCCCTGGCACCGCTTCTTGTAATGTCTGAAAGATAAGGTGCATGGAAATGTGTCATTGCCAATGCCTGGATGTGGCCCCAAAAGCATGCTGGCTAAGCACTATTCAACTCTCTCACTACAAAAAATGCTAAGAAGGCAATGTTAGGCTCTACGGTTGAAAGCCAGCCACCATCATTGCCAGTATATGAGCCAAGTTATTTTCTAAATGTAATACAGTACATGTATTTCATGTGGATAATATTAGAGGAGGCTTTTTCGTTTCAAATTTTCCAATCATAACATTAGCACAAGAAAAGTTTGTTTCGGCCTTTTAAAAAAATCAATTATCTTCCACTTTCTTAACTTCAAACCTATTATTATTTTATAACGAGAGCTGTGCTGCACATTACAAGCCAACTATTTGGCTTTTGCAAACAAGACCTTTATCTTCACGAGTTCAGAGCAAGCTTTAATGATGCTTTGAATGGTGGGGCCCAGAACACTCGCTAACAGCTCTTTAAATATTGGCAAGGATGTGCTACTAAATAATGCAACAGCTTCTAACTCCGTATCAACTCAGAAACCAGAGAAACCATACCAATATCTCACTTCATCATTTTAAATATTCCTGTTCTTTTGAATAGTAAATTTCTTTAAAGATAAGATTTCTTTTCAAGCAAAACAGCAGCTATATTAAATTTCCTCTCACCAAGAAAGCAATCTGATCAAGAACTAAAAACTCCTATGTTAATCCAAAAGATGTGAGGCTTCTGGCTAAATGAATGTACAGATCCCAGGACAGACTTAAATCCCGTCCTCTCTAACTCTGGAATGGAGCTTTTCTGCTCCCAATGTTGGTTGAACTAAGATCATCACATAAGGCAGAGAAGGAGAGAAGAGGAATGTGAGCCTGATCCCCACCTTTCTGCCAGGACAGCCCCCGCCGACAGGCCTCCGCCTAGGAGGGCGCTGCACCTAAACCACCCGCCAGCCCCCAGCAGACCCACACCGCCCCCCACCGGTCACCTCAACGGCCCTCTCCTGTGTTCCAACGCCCCTCCCGCTCTGGAGCACCCTCACCTCCATCCTGCTGCGCGCACACACACACACACACACACACACACACACACACACACACACGGGCCTTCCCAAAGCATACTGGTTAGGTCACCCCCCACTTCAAAGCCTTCCAAGGCTCCCCAGTACAGCTCCAGCCCCCCTCCCCTGCCCTCCCCAGCCTCCCCAGTCACCCCAGGGGCCTGGCTCTTCTGCCAAGCTACTCCCACTGGCCATAGGACTCATTCTGACTCAGTTTCTCAAGGAAGCCTCCCTGCCTCCAGCCTCTGCACCTGCGGGGTCTCTCCCTCCCAAAGGTGGGCGGCGCATGGCCCATTCCCTGCAGTGTCTCCTGCTCCAACCAGAAAAGGATGCAGCCTCCGAAGGCACACTCGCCTTCTCCACTCACATGACTGTGGACTCCTATCAAGTGGCGGTTTACAGATCCACCACGATACTGACTCAACAGATTCTGAATCACACTTTTTCTTAGGAGACTTTACTCCTTTCCTGTTAAGACTAAAATTTGCTTTAAAGCATCCTGTCTTACCTCTCTAAACAAAGTAAATTATTACATCTCCATACAAACTTACAAAGGTGCACGTCTGCTGTAGCAAAATATAGCCCAGGACAGTTTCAGAAAGAGCTGGCTTTGAAAATACAGGATTTTTACAAAAAGAAGTCATCTAAATATGTTTACGGTTTTTCATATAAAGGTTATATGATGCAACACAACAATATAAAATATTTTGAATTATATAAAAATAGAATGAATCCTAATACTCGGGAGAAGTCTCCAAAATGCCATACAAATAAAATTCTAGCATAGATGGACACAAATTATATCAGTCTTGGATGCTGTGTGCCCCAAGACTGGGTCATCTCGAGACTACGAGCAATCCTGTTCATCATCCTTTGAAAAGACAGTAGGAAACAGATAAAGGAATTAAGACAATTCTATTTCTAGTTAGCTACAGTGTGGACAACCAAAATATTTTAAGCCAATTTTGGCAGAATTTACAACATAAGCTTTCTCATTAAAATTCTCCTTCCAGTGCTCACTTCGGCAGCACATATACTAAAATTGGAACGATACAGAGAAGATTAGCATGGCCCCTGCACAAGGATGACATGCAAACTCATGAAGCGTTCCATATTTTTATGAATGGGAATGCTCATTGTGAAAAAATAAAATAAAAAAATTTAAACAATAAAATAAAATTCTCCTTCCAAAAAGACATGGATCCTTTCTTTCTTCATGGATCATTTGAAAATGATGTCAGGTTTGTTTTCTTTATAAGTCTCCATGGAAGTTCAGAGTTCTTACAAATACATTATTAGCACTGTTACACTGTGTGACCACTGCTCATGGATATGGAAAAACAAAACATACAAGCAAACAGTGTGACAAAGAAAAACGCAAAGTGAAGCCACAGCAGCAAATAAATGTAAAGTTAATGAAAAATGCAAACGTTCAAAACAGGTCGTAATTTGTTGCAAATTTTAAAACTAATGGTGAATTTTAAAGGCAGGAGCAACAGAACGTAGCCAAAAATGTGAATATGCTCTAAACACTTCAAAGAGCGACTCATGTTATTTCCTTATTCTTAACGAGTTATAAACACTAGGGCTAAAGGAACTGGAATAGAGGATTGATAGAAAAATTAATAAAAACCCAATAAGCCCTAAGTCATAAAGGCCTCAAATCAATCATGGCTGAAGCACAGCCACAGAGCTGCCGGCCTCCTCAGATAAAGGGAGATGCATCCTTTCGGGAAGCACCTAACACAGCCATGAACACTGCCACGGAGATGCTCACGCCACACTTAACACTAAGGACGACTCAACTAAAGTACACACTGCGTGATTCCCATTACTTCTGATCAGAAGGAGGAAGAAAATGTGTCTTATTGTGTGCTCTGGGTACTATTTACATGGCTCATGGTACATTCTAACCCAAAGTCCAATTTACTTGCAAAGAAACTACATATTCAAAGGGAAACCAGAGCTGCTCAACCACACTTTGCAACTAAAACCCAAAGAAACTCTAGTGAAGGTAATCTCTTATTGCTTTTGGTATTATATAGTTTTATAAGCATTTGCATAATTAAGTGACCGCTACAGCCCATGATTCTGCACTAGAATATTAGGGGCTGAAAAAGCCTAGATTACGTGCACTGTGTAAATGCAATCACATCAACACACTGACAGGCGCCCCTTTGGTGGAGCTGAAGTTGCAAAGTAGACAACTCTACACAATGCATGCTAAGTCACTTTAGTTGTGTCCGCCTCTGGGCGACCTTGTGGACTGCAGCCTGCCAGGCTCCTCTGTCCACGGACAGCTCTAACTAGAACATGAGAAACGCAGAGTTCTGTACTCGATTTCAGGTGCTGCACGGGTCATTAACTGACACTGCATCTCGCCTTACAAAATTTAAACATAAATAGTTAACGTCGGTTTTCTCCATCTGAACTCTTTTATACTAACACTGGATATTAAACCCTCGCTCCATAAAGAGAGCCCCAGCCTACCCTGCAGAAGAGTTAGGTTCTGCTGAGGAAAGCTGATCAAAGGAGGCCTGAACAGTTTCCACTGCACACTCAGAATGGTCGAAGGATGACTGCACATGTGCGTCCTTTGCAAGCATGTCATCACTGGAGGAGCGGGACCAACACCTGCCTCTGGGACGCAAAGTACACTGGTGCTGCCCAACCGTCAGACACGGCTGAGCTTCGTGAGACAGACCTGCAGCCCGCAAGTCTGAGGCTTTCTCTGAGAGGCTCCAAACTGGTCCACTTGACCCTCCAGACACAACAGGGAGGTAACAGGATTAGGAGAGAGAACACATCCGGCAGGCTGAAAAGGCCTGAATCCCACTCTAGCATTCACTAGCCCTGTGATGCCGAGCTGACGGCTTCCCCCCTCTAAGAATGCTCCACGCTCTGCAAAAGGTGGCTGCCACCCCCACCTCAGATGGCATCCATGTGGCGTGAATGGAATATGGGGGCGGGGGAGTGCCTGACATAGAACCTTGCTAGCTTCCCTCCCCCGCCCTTCTCCCCTTTTAAACTGGCATACTCCCCCTAACAAGTATCAAGCTTCTGGGACAGACAGTCTTATTCATCTTTGTATCCACCACAGTAGGATCAAAAAAGAACTGCTTCCTCCATAGTAACTATCAGTGTTCTTAAGAGATCTGGGTTTAAGTCTACTTTGAGGGGAAAGACTATTTCAGAACTACCCAACCATCCTTCTGCATGGCAGCCCCCCCCCCAGTGTGCATCCACTGTCCTCAGATACCGGGTGTGAGCTGCTCATGTCCACTGGACCCGCCGGGGGCTCTGCACCTCCCCAGGCCTTCCTCCCCACCTCAAGGTGCATGTGACCCACCTTCTCCGCCCTCCATGCCACTCCAGCTCCAGCTTCCTCCACCCGCTGCCAGAGCATCTTCCTAAGATGCATGTCTGACCATGTCTTTCCCTTCCGACTTCTTAAGAGGCTGCCCCACCTCCAGGCCCTAACGGTAAACGGCAGCTGCTGCTAAAACCCCAAACACCGCACAAAGTGAAAGTGAAAGTTGCTCAGTCGTGTCTGACTCTTTGCGATCCTGTGGACCATAGAGTCCATGGAATTCTCCAGGCCAGAATACTGGAGTGGGTAGCCGTTCTCTTCTCCAGGGCATCTTCCCAACCCAGGGATTGAACCCAGGTCTTCCGCATTGCAGGCAGATTCTTTACCAGCTGAGCCACAGGTGAAGCCCACTACACAAAACCTCCATGACCCAGGCCTTCCTCCAACCTTGTCTCAGCCCTGGACCTGCAGCCTACACTCTCTGGATGCACTCCCCCCATTCACGGTTGTAAGCACACGCTGAAGCTGACAACCCCCAATGCGTGCCTCGAGTCCAGCTCTGTCACCTGAGCCCCAGGCTCTTTGAAACCATCACTTGAATATTGACTGGCTTCTGAAAAACACATTTACCGTTTACTCGGGAACCCAACCACCAGCAGGAACTCCCAGTTTCAGTAACAATCTCAAACTTCCATTTTAGTTAACAGCCCAGGACATGCCCAGCTGTTTGAGTCAAAACCCTGACGTCACATTTGACTTCCCCTGTTCCTCACCCGACCCCGGCGCCATCATAAGTCCTGCCATTTCTATCTCAAAGTATATCTCAGCTCTGGTTCCAAGGGACCCAGCACAGACCCAGCCAGCTCACAGCAAGTGTGTGCTGAGTCACAGTCCTCCGACGGGTGGTCCCTGAAGGGTGCTCCCTGAAGAGGGACGTGTTCCCTGGCACCGGCCACCTAGGAAGGCACTTGAGTCTCCTATAGGAGGCCCAGGAAAAAGGACTCGTGGTTCTCCCACGGTCTGAACTTTGAAGGGTCCGTGGTCTGGGAACCAGGTCCATGCCCCTGGTTAGCGGGCACACCCGCCAGTGAGCAGGTGAGAGTGCAGGAGCCGAGGCAAGGCTTCGGTCACTGCCATCCCCAGGACCTGGGAGCCACAGGTAAGGTCCTGCATCCAGGGCGCCGCCCAGCCATCACAGGATCCCACCCTACGTTTCCCAACCACATGGCCTCGACCTGTCCTTGCCACCCTTCTTTCTGTTTTGCAGCCCCCCTACCCCAGGATAGGTTGGACCCTTTCAGGAATCTGGCCTGTCTCAAGTGAGACAAAGTCAACAAAAAATGACAGTGTCCACATTTGGACCAGACCCTTGAAGGAGGAACAAGGACTCATGGCCAGCACAGCGGTGGCAGCCAAACCCTTCCCCAGGAAGTGAGATGACCAGGGCAAGAACACAAGGTCCTCGATTAGCCCAGGCGTCTCCCTTCACGGCTGACCGTGTGTGTTGGAGGTTGACCACCAGTTAATGACATGCCCATAGGTGATGGCTGTTAGCCTCAACAAATACACAACCAGCTATTTCTTACCAACATGGGTTAAAAGTAAAGGCTGGTACAGGTAGGGCCTGTCCATCTGCTAAGCTAAACCACAGACCTGGCTAAAGCAGAGAGGAAGCCATGGTCACTTGTACAGGTCCTTGTGCCCACCAGATCCAAACCAGCTAGCGATTTAAGAGAAGGACATATTTCCCTGATCCCCAGGAAAACTGCTTTATAAAGGCAAATGTCCTTTAGCAGACTAGCCTCTGCCCCTTTATGATGGAAAGTCACTGGGACGAAGTAAATGGGACAGGCAACATGAGAGCAAAAAAAAACCTGGTGACTGCTCCCTCCAACAGCATCCCTCCACGGCCAGCTTTGTCCAAGGCGGGCGTGTGTTCACTGGCAACTGCTGGCCAGTAAGCACCGTCATGCATACGCAGCGACAGCCAAGAATCGCGTGCCTGGTACATTTACTTGAAAGCCAGGGTCAAGCAAAGTGCAGCAAACTTTGTCTTCCCAAGTTAAAATATCCCAGGAAAAACCCCTCGCAGCCACTTAAATAAACTAGCATCTCACTTCCTCAAACCAAAAAAAAAAAAAAAAAAATTAACAAGGGCTCATTTGTCACCAAATGTGAGACCAAACAGGTTCCCCAAAGCAAGAATTTGGACAGCTATCTAAGGCCAGTGGGTTATGTGCTAAAAAAGCAAAAAGAATTAGAAAATAAAACAATGACCAGGATGAGACATGGATCAAGGCAGCAGTTAAGTTTCTGTTTTCTAAAGCGATCAGGCGGTGAGGAGGCAGCAAAGGGGGAACCCAGCTATTTTCAGGGCAACCCGTGCACAGCCTACCTTTTCAGACCCAATAACACACTCACAGGGCGGTATGAGAGAAAAAGAACAAAGGAAAAGAAAAGAAAGAGGAACAAGCGAAAATTAGAAACACACCGGAACAAAAACAACTTTGACAGCATGTTCAAGAATTGACGTGGGCTCTGACGAGGCCAGGGGCACGTGTGGACGGTCAGTAAACGCCCCCCGCACCCTCCTACCCGTGGCTCCCGGGAAGGCTGGGCCTGCGGCTGGCGGCACCGGCCGCAGAGCCTGTCCATGCACCCAGAGCGGTCCGCACTTCAGACCAAAACTCCACCTACATTTGGACATTTCCTTCTGAGGCACAAAATGCGATCCCCTTTCAGGCTGGACTCTTTCTACCACTCCTACTAGGAGCTGCGGGAGAGACTGTGGCTGTAGGCTCTGTTTCTGGACTGAATCACTGCTTTGAAAATGAGACAAGGGACACACAGGGACTGGAGGTAAACGCTTCCGCTGAGGTCGCTGGCGTCATTATCTCACCAGAGTCCACATGATGGCTGAGTGTTTATGGGGCCAGTGAGAGCTGAATGGACCCACCGGGAGGAAGGTTTCGTTCGCTGCTGACTTTCTGGCACACGGAGGCTCTGGGTAAACACCTGGGGACAGGACTGGCCACCATGAGCCAAGCACCATGTCCTGAATCGAGTTCCTCCCGCCAGACTGTGAGCAGAGGTTTCAAGAGGCAAAATAGGCATTCTCAACATTTCGGTCTGCAGACCTTTGGGTTCGCAACCTCAAGAAGGTGATGATCAAGAATGTCCCTTGGGGCCTCATGTCGCAAGGAGAAGGCAGCAGTCAAAAGGTCGGGGTCCCCAGCTTCAGTCACTCATGCACGAGTCTGTCCTACTGATGCCACTGGCGCTAAGATTTGGGGAACGCAGGGGCACGCGTGGCCCCACCTTTTCAGGGACCACTACCTCGGCACAGACCCGCCTGACACCTGGGACTCAGCAGGAGTTGAGGGGCTGGTGGGAGTGGGTCTGGTGTGTCTGGGTGTGTCTGGGTGGGTCTGGTGGGTCTGAGTGGGTCTGGTGGGTCTGAGTGGGTCCGAGTGGGTCTGAGTGTGTCTGGGTGTGTCTAAGTGGGTCTGGTGTGTCTGAGTGGGTCTGAATGGGTCTGGGTGGGTCTGGTGGGTCTGGTGTGTCTGGTGTGTCTGAGTGGGTCTGAGTGGGTCTGGGTGGGTCTGGTGTGTCTGAGTGGGTCTGGTGTGTCTGAGTGGGTCTGGGTGGGTCTGGTGTGTCTGAGTGGGTCTGAGTGGGNTCTGAGTGGGTCTGGTGTGTCTGAGTGGGTCTGAGTGGGTCTGGTGTGTCTGAGTGGGTCTGGGTGGGTCTGGTGTGTCTGAGTGGGTCTGGGTGGGTCTGGTGTGTCTGAGTGGGTCTGAGTGGATCCGAGTGGGTCTGGTGTGTCTGACTGGGTCTGAGTGGGTCTGGTGTGTCTGAGTGGGTCCGAGTGGGTCCAGGTGTGTCTGAGTGGGTCTGGGTGGGTCTGGGTGGGTCTGGTGTGTCTGAGTGGGTCTGAGTGAGTCTGGGTGGGTCTGGTGTGTCTGAGTGGGTCTGAGTGAGTCTGAGTGGGTCTGGTGGGTCTGGTGGGTCTGGTGCGGGCAGCTCTGCCCCTCAGTGGTGCCCAGACTCCTAAACCTTGCCACCTGGGCTGCAAGGAGCAGGAGGGCAGGGCAGGCGTGGTGATCACAGGGTCATGCGAGCAGCAAGTACAGGCTGTGGGTGTGACACGCCCTGCCCTTCCTGAGGCCACACAAAGCGTCCAGGTCGGAAGGGAGACCTCTCCAGACCCTGCCAGGCACCAGCTCCAGGGGTGGTCAGGGCCTCTGTGCCTCTCCCCGCAGAGCAGGCCTGGACTTCTTCCCTCGGGTCTCTGACATCTTTTCCTCTAACTTATCAACAACCAGAAAGTCGGGTTCGACCTCAGTGAACTCAGGAAACCCTGAGCACCTACTCTGCAGCGGACAGGGCGGCACCCACACCACGTCCTCCGCCCTCGCCTGCGGGACCAGCACGTGAGCTCTGCAGAGGACCGGAGAGGCTCGGCGCCCCAGGCGGCAGTGCTCCCGCCAGCGAGGGGACGTCCCTGCTCTCTTCTGCGGGAGGGTCGCGGGGAAACAGAGCAGAGGGCCAGCAGGGCCCCGCAGAGCTCGTCTGCGGTTCTGATGCCTGCATCACGGGGCTAACGTGAGGACTGAGAGGTCCCTGTGGCACAGAGACCATGAACATGCTGTTCTCTGCACCAGGAGCTCTTTTAGGAGTCTTTGCAGTGGTTCTGATATCCTAAGTGGGGGCCCTGGTGCCAGGGCATCTGGCAGGAGGAAGGGCCTGGCCAGGCAGGCAGGAGGCACAGGCCCACTCAAGCCCAGCAGGCTGGAGTTCTGCTGCCTCTGGGGCTCAGCACCCCATCTACAGATGAAAGGGGTGAGGCTGAACGGCAGTCTTCACAACGTACCCTGGGGCAGCGCTGTCCAATAGGAGTAAGACGCAAACCACATGACTTAAGCTGTCCAGTTGCCACATTTAAAAAGGTAAAAAACAAATACTTGCAACTGATTTTAATAATGTCCTTTGTTCAATCTCATATATGTAAAATGTTATCATTCTGACGTCCAATAAATCAAAAAAAAAAAAAAACCACACTAAGATAGCCCACATTCTTCTTCCCACTGAGTCTCAGCGCCTGTCCTGCCTCTGACCCGCGGCGCACCTTGTTTCAGCTTCTTCTGCCTCCCCAGTGACAGTGGCTACCCTCTGGACAGCCGCTCCAGGGCTCCCACCTGGGGGTCTGGGCTGAAAAGGGGCAGGAAACTGTCACACGAACCCTAAAAGGATCTCCCCCAACCAAAGTCTGTTCCACTCAATTTCAGAAAGTCTGCACCCTTCCCCCGCTACCACTGCAGGAAACCCTCCTGCTTGCTCATCCCTTTTTGAAGCCTAGGCTCCAGGCCGACTTACCTACTGTCTGTGTCCAGCCCCACGAAGTCCTTCTTCTCGAAGGGGACGCAGAGGAGAGGGATCTTGTCCCCGGACTTGTCCGTGGCCCTGTCCAGGCGCTTGGACTCGAGCACGATGAAGAGCGACTCCACGAAGTCCTCGATGCGCTTCTCCACCGTCGCGCAGTCCTCGTAGCTGGGGTAGAAGGCCACGTCGGTGCGCGGCTGCTCCGCGATCTCCCCTTGCAGCCCGAACACGAAGAGGCGGGAGTCGTACAGCGTGGAGCCGTAGATCTCCTTCTGCATGTGGAACTTCTCGAAGGTCTGCGGCCACTCCTTAGCTGAGAAGCAGTCAGTGATGGTGATGAGGCCCACGACCTTGCGGTGGGTCTGGAAGTCGCCCCACTCGCTGTTCTCGGGCGGGTAGTGGTGCCGGTAGCGGATGTAAAGCGCGCGCTGCGAGTCACGCACGCTGATCTGGCTCACCGACGAGATCCTCTTGTAGATCCTGAAGAAGCTCTCCTCCGAGACGATCCCCACGGGCTGGACCACCACGAGGAGAGTCTGGTGGTCCTCGGCGCACTGCATGTAGTCAGGGACACTCATGGTGAAGACCCTGCCCAGAGAGAAGAAGGGGTTTTGCAGGTTGCAGCCCACTCCGGGACGCTGTCATGCCGGTGTCCCCCAGCTGGAAGGCTGGGTGAGCCCCTAGCCAAGCGGTGGGGTACCGTTTGTCCTCGGGGGTTCTGCGTGCGCCTACCATAGCTCCTATCACAGCACCCTGCTCCTGGAGCAAGCTTGGAGCCCCTGCAGTTTAAAAGGAGCCTCTCAGGTTTTCTATTCCCAGTACCTCACCAGACACTGATGTGGAGTCAGTGCTCAAGGAAGGCTGAATAAATGAAGGAAGGAAGGAAGGAAGTGCTTCCTCAGCCTCTCAGCAGAAATAATGAAGGTTCCACAGTGGAATCAGAAGACCAGGACTCTACTGCAGGCCACCTGAGCTCCTGAGCTGAAAACTAATGGGGGTAATATAAAAAACTTGCCTTCTAAGAAGATAGCTGGATTAAGGAAGGCTGCAAAGTGCCAAGCACAGTGTGAGATAGAAGGAGGAACTACACACCATTACCATCCCTCATTTTATGAACCGAGTTTCCTTGGGAGAGTTTTTATAACCTCGCTGTGCCAATTTTGTCAGATATAAAAAGAAAATAGCATCAACTATACTCCAGTAATTTTTTTTTTTTAAGAGGAAGAAAACAATATTACCTGATTCTCAGTCCTGTTGAGGAATTCAGTTAGATAACCCACACAAAAGCATCTGGCCCATAGGAGTTAATAAATGTTTGTTAAATGAATGGACAAACAAGCAGATGAATGCTGCCACATCCACAGAGCATCATAATAGCACTGCCTGGAAATCTGAAGCCCTGTTCCACCCAGACTCCACACTAGCCATGTCAGTGACCCAGACAGGCCTGTGTGCTTCTCTAAGCCCAAGTTTAATCGTGAATAAAAATGTGGATAATAAGACAAACCTCAAAGGATTAGTGAGTCAATATTCTGGTTTCAATATTGTACTGTAACTTTGCAAGATGGTTGTTGTTCAGTCGCTAGGTCGTGTCTGACTCCCTGCAACTGCATGGACTGCAGCATGCCAAGCTTCCCTGTCCTTCACTGTCTCCCAGAGTTTGCTCAAATTCATGTCCATTGAGTCAATGATGCCATTCAACCATCTCATCCTCTGCAAGACGGTATCATTAAGGGAAATTGGGCAAAGGGTCCACAAGCTCTCTCAACATTCACACTGTTATGCAACCATCTCCAGAATGTTTTCACCTTTGCCAACTGAAGCTCTGTACCCATTAAACACTAATTCCCATCCCTTCACCCCGAGTCCCAGTCCCACCATCTATTCTGCCTCTATGAGTCTAGAGGCACGTCAACTCAGTGGAATCATGCTGTGACTGGCTCATTTCACTTAGCACAATGTCTTCAAGGTTCATCCGTGTTGTAGCATGTATCAGAATTTCCTTATTTAATGCTGAATAATATTCCCTGCAATATTACATGTATTTATGTATAAAGGTATATAACACATTTTATTTATTCATTCATTGAAGGTCATTTGGGTTGTTTCTAGCTTTGGCTACTATGAATAATAGTATTATAAATACAGACAAAATGTTTTAAGTATAAAAACCACCACGTTTGCAAAGATGTAGATATAGATGTAGATGCAAAGGTAACTCCTATTTGACAGGTGGGCGTGTAGACTGGTACATCCTGGGCCCAGCAACTGCCCTGACAGAGGAGCTCTGGCATATGGTGGGCAGGTTTACAGAAGCAAGAACTGGAGAAAACAAAGCTGCCCACTGTCAGCAGGATGGGTAAGTAAACTGTGGTCTTTTAACACAACGGAATACTTCGAACAGTGAAAATGAACGACCTAGAGGAACAAAGATGAGTCTCAAAAACATGATGGGCGAACAAAGCAGGTTATGGATTAACACAAGCAGCACCATTCCACTTACGTAAAGTTTAACAGGCAACACTAAATAATATGTTGTTTACACATATGGTAAAATTATAAAGAAAAAGATAAATCTGGACAGTGGTTACTTGGGTGGCAAAGAGGACGCAGTTTGAAAGCAAAGCCACGGGGCCACAGAAGTAGCAGCTGTGTTCTGTCTCTTAAGCTGGATGGCAGACCCAGGGGTGCTCGTCTTGCCCTTCTTTAAACTGTACATAAACATCAAATGTTTCACAGAAGCGTTAAAAAAGGAAGAAGATCCTGTTGGGAGGGAGGTTCAAGAGGGAGGGGACATCTATACCTGTCGCTGATTCATACTGATGTATGGCAGAAACCAACAGGATCTTGTAAGGCAATTATCCTTCAACTCAAAGCAAATAAAATTTTCTTAAAAGGAAGAAGATCCAACTTCAAAAAGCTTACAAGGTGGGTCTCAGCAGGTTGGCTGGTTTCGGGGCCTGGCCCCAGCCCTTCTCCTCTATCAGGAGATGATGCTGCTGATCCCAAAACACCCTGCTTCTATGAGCAAAGAAGTTGCTGCACAAAAAAGGCATGTGAGTTACAGGTGCAGATCTGCCTGAAGACAGGTGGCCTGTGGATCTCAGACAGTTTGAGGATAGGAGGTGTTCAATTTCTCTGGTCTGAAGTAAAATGAGAAAAATACAAATAATATTTAAGTGTTCCACAAAACTAAAGTAAACTTAGTATGTGTCTTATAAATGTTAACTATTATTGTTATTTATTCTTAGATTTGGAGAAGAAAATGGCAACCCACTCCAGGATTCTTGCCTGGAGAATCCTATGTGACCCCAGGGTCACAAAGAGTCGGACCCGACTGAGCAACTAAGCACATTCTTAGGTTATGAATTTCTCATTTTTTTGCTGTTAAAACATTCTTTTTTGGGGGAAGTGGGGGGACTTCCCTAGTGATCCAATAGTTAAGACTCCTCGCTTACAAGGCAGGGGGTGCGGGTCTGATCCCTGGTTACGGAACTAAGATCCCATTTGCCTCGGGCTGCAGCCAAAAAAAAAAGTTCTAATTATTTTTTTCTTTTTTTTTTCAAAATGGCCAAGCCACACGACTTTATAGGATCTTAGTTCCCCAGCCTGAAACTGAACCTGGGCCATGGTAGTGAAAGCACTGAGCCTTAACCACTGGACAACCAAGAACTCCCAAACCTTCTTGCTTTTATAAAACAATAGTGAGAGTAGATGGCAGCAGTTTTCCATCATACTATCTGGGCAAAAATAAAAATTGAGAAACGTTTTCCCTGAAGGAGCTCACTATCACCATAGTTCTGGTTCACCTTTGCCCCGGATTAAAAATATGCAACTTGGAGAAGGAAATGGCAACCCACTCCAGTATTCTTGCCTGGAAAAATCCATGGACAGAGGAGTCTGGCGGGCTGAAGTCCATGGGATTACATGACTGAGCATGTGTGCACGAGGGTGGAGGGAGATGAGTTGGTAGCAATAAACTGGTAGAACTAAAAAAAATATATATATATGCAACTAACACTGGAATAAATGTCTCATATAAGGTAGGAATAGGAAATTGCACTAAGCACTTTACAATCTATCATATCATATTCAGACTTCACAACAATCTAAGAAACAGCATTCCTATCTTCAACCTTACAGATAAAGAACCAGGCTCAGTCATTTGCTCAAGGTCTTCTAATCTGTAAGTGGCAAACTGGCTCCAGAGTCGATGCTTTCCCACTAGTTTCTTCAAGGGAGAAAGAATCTAATGAAATGAGCCCTGGCATTGAGCCATCTCTGGTGTCTGAGACTCCAGCCCAGTCCAGTCGCTCAGTCGTGTCCGACTCTGCAACCCCTTGGACTGCAGCATGCCAGGCTTCCCTGTCCATCACCAATTAGTCTGAGACTAATCTAATATGAATATTAAAATGTTAAGGATATATTTCTTCAGGGACTTTCCTGATGGTCCAGTAGCTATGACTCTGCACTCCCATTGCAGGGAGCCTGGGTCTAATCCCTAGTTGGGGAATTAGATCCCACATGCCGCAACCAAGAGCTCCACACTGTAACTCAAGATCATGCTGCAAGGAAGATCAAGGATTCCACACGAGGCAACTAAGACCCAGTGCAGCCAAATAAATAAATAAATATTTATTTTAAAAAAGAATATATTTCTTCAACTTGGTATTTCCTCGAAAAGTTAAACATAGAGTTACCATATAAACAGCAGTTCTACTCCTAGTTATACACCAAAGATTGAAAACACACGTCCACACAAAAAGTAGTACACAAACATTCATGGCAGTATTATTCGTAATAGCCAAAAAGTGGAAACAACAGAGACATCTATCACCTGATAAATGGATAAACAAAATGCAGTCTATCCATATAATAGAATACTACTCAGCCATAAACAGTACTGACACTGCTACAACATGGGTGAACCCTGAAAACACTATGCTCAGTGAAAGAAGCCAGGCACAAAAGACCACATATTGCATGATTCTATTTACATGAAATGCCCCAAACATGCAACTCCTTGGAGACAGAGAGTAAATTTGTGGCTGTTCCGGGTGCAGAGGGGAGACTGACAAGGGGTATGGAATTTCTATCTGAAGTGATGAAAATGGTCTGGATTAATAATGGTTGCACAACTGGGAATACACTGAAAACCACTTAAGTGTACAATTTAAATGGGCACACTACCGTATGTGAACATTCTCTCAATAAAGCTGTTACTTGATAAAATATTTCTTAACTATTTTTCCCTCTATTCCACTTGACAGCCCCACAATTTAAGAAAAAACCTTGCCAAGGGATCTTTAAGGATTGCGAGATGCCTGGTTCTCCAGCATCAGGTCTCTAGTGCTGTTATTTCATACTAGGGAACACCAGCTGGGCCGGACTAGGAAGAGACGGTAACTACCTTCTAAAAGTCGCCAGTTGTCTTTAAACTGGGTGGGGAGGAGCAAAGAAGGAGGAGGAGGTCACAGCCTCTTGCCTTCAGCTCATTTTTAACTAACCCGAGCCTACCTTCGGCACTATGGATCCCTCTGTAAGAACAAGTGGAATCCACAGGCATCCCACCCTGATACCAGCACACTCCGCGTGGAAAGGCGTTCGCGCGGGGCAGATGGACTAGGGGCGGAGACCCAGGCGGGCACCGGCTCTGCAATTTCGAGACTCGGCCGAGAGAAGCTGGACTTAACAATTTCGGGAGCTCAACCGCAGGAGACTGTGCCTGTCGCCGCCGCGCGGGATCTGAGCTACTTAGAACCCAGCGGAGATGGAGGAAGAGAGGAAACCAAGAGCTGGTCCCAGCCGCGTCCGCAGACCCCCGGGCGGGGGCGGGAGCGGGGGCAGAGGCCGGGAAGGGGCCAGGGACGGCCGGCGCCCCCGGAGGGGAGGCCGGGCCGGGCCCGAGAGGCGGCAGATGCGGGCCGGAGCAGGACGGGCGCGGGCGCGGATTGGGGGGCCGGGCCGCCGGGCCGGTGCAGGTGGCCGCGGCAGGTGCGGGCGGAGTCGAGCCCCTCCGCGGGAGACACGCTGCCCGGCGCCCCCGCGCGCGCCGTGACCCACGGACAGCCCTGCCAAGGCCGGCTCGGCCCCCTGCCCAGGGGCACCCCCTTCTTGCACTTACGCAGCCGGGGCCCCCGGGCCCGGAGCAGGCGCCAACGGCGGGAGGGGCGGCGGGGCCGGGCAGCCTCTGCGGCCGCTCCCCGGGCTCGGAGCTGGAGCTTCCGACTGGCGGCCGGGCCGGCGCCGCCCCTGCGCATGCGCGGGGCCGGTTCCGGGCCCGGAGACCCGCGCCAGGTTTTAGGGGCGACACGGGGACCAAGAGGGAGGGGCGGGGAGCGAGGTGGTCGCTGGGGGGCAGGGAGGGGAGGGAGACAGAAGAAGGGCGGGAGGGGAGCAGCTGCAACGGAGAGAACTTTGACTCCTGGCGCAGCGCACCCAGTGGAGGCGCAAAGTCCTGCCTCTGCGCCCCTTTCCCGGTTCTCTGGGCGCGCAGCTCAAATTTCAGCTCGAGGGTGGAGCCCTTTGCAGCCCCCGCTCCTGCAAAGCCCCTACCGGGTCACGATCCCAGCGCCCGCGCCGAGCCGGGCTTCCTGTAGCTCCCGGGATCAAGCACCAGCAGGCGTGGTAGCGAGGCTTAGAGCTACCTTGGGACGAGAATAAGTTCCCCTTTTACTGGCTGGGAGACGATCTCTGGGTGCCTCCCGAGCCTGACTTAACTGCTAGGTCACACACCGGGGCTGGGCGGGGATGAGGAGGTCAGAGGCGGATCCCGGAGCAGACCGCCCGAGGGCCGGTTCCTGGTCCCCACCCGTCCTAGGAAAACGACTCCCGACTCTAGGGGTCCTGTCAAGGGCTCGAAATAAAGTGTGAAACGGCTGTCATAGTTCCAGCACACAGCTGACTAGGTAGGGCAGAAGCCACTTAAGAACTTAAACCCTTCTAGGTTAAAAAATAAACAAAACTTTAAAAGGAGTTTACATACATAGCTTGGAATGTGGATAGCATATTTGAAAAATACACAAGAAATTATCAACAGTTGTAGGGTTGAGAGAAAAGAGGATAAGGGAGACCTTCTTTCCCTGTGTATTTTTGAGTTTGAATTTTTTACCGTATGCATGTATTTCTTTTTCAGTTAACGAAAAAAAAAAAAACTGTAATGGAGGACAGGAATAGTTCAGCCTGTACAGCAGCCGTGGAAAAACAGAGCCATCACTTACTTTACCCAAGCAAGCATTTATTGACTCTGCTGTGTGCCCAGTGCTGTTTTATGACTTATTATTTATATATACATATATATATATATTTTTTTTTTAATAATAATATGCTATCCCTCATCCCTGCCCTGGGCCAGTGGAAAACCAATTGCATTTTATTGAATTGTTTTCCAAGGAGTGGAAATGAATTATAAACAGAATACATCTTCAGGGCAAAACCCATGGAGTGTATTTCCAGCACACCAGCCAGGAAGGATCTTCAACAGAGCGCCCAGAGGCTGAGAGTACGTTTCCAGGACCCTGCATAAAGCTACCCAGAGTGACTTCTTCTTAGCCCTGAGAGCACAAGTTGACAGTTATAGAACACAGAAAACAGACCTTAAAAGAGGCCACCCTTTATTGGAGGTCTATGTGCCAGGAATAGAAATCCATGTTTAGCACACAATGTCTTCATAAGATCCATGCAACGTAGCTATTCTTAGCATTGAGGTCCAGAAAGAACACTACTTGGCACACAAGTGGCTGATGCTGTTTAGAATTGGAATCGGAGGCTGTCTGACTGTTGTCTGTGCCCTTCCCATAGTCCTCTGTTCTCATTCTATCTATAAATGGATAAGAGAAGCAGTTTGGAAAGCAAGATTGAATGCTGGCAAGAGGAAACATTGCTATTTTTGTACAGTGTTTCTGTCTTCAGTGTACTCACATTAATTTTATTGTCCTATCAAATCTGTGAGGGAGGGAGGAAACTCTTCTGCATTTTTATGAGAAAACCAAAGTTCAGAGACAGTAAAGGCTTGCCACAGCACCCCAGCCATCAAATGGAGGTGCCTAGACTTGTTTCAGGTATATCCTGCTTCTGCAGTTATAATCCTTACATAGTTTTAACATTTCCTGAGCATCTCCCCTGAACGTTGAGAGTTCAAAGAATACACCAAATCTGCTCTCAAGGAGTTTTAGACTCTTAAAAGTTGGATTGGAAGGATCATCTGAAATCATCAAGTCCAACCTCACCAGCCATACCAGAGCCCCTCTACAGAATTCTTCAGTTCAGTTCAGTTGCTCAGTCATGTCCAACTATTTGCAACCCCATACACTGCAGCACGCCAGGCCTCCCTGTCCATCACCAACTCCCAGAGCTTATTCAAACTCATGTCTATCGAATTGGTGATGCCATCCAACCATCTCATCCTCTGTCGTCCCCTTCTCCTCCTACCTTCAATTTTTCCCAGCATCAGGGTCTTTTCCAATGAGTCTGTTCTTCGCCATCAGGTGGCCAAAGTATTGAACCTTCAGCTTCAGCATCAGTCCTTCCAATGAATATTCATGATTAATTTCCTTTAGGATTGACTGGTTGGATCCCCTTGCAGTCCAAGGGACTCTCGAGAGTCTTCTTCAACGCCACAGTTCAAAAGCATCAATTCTTCGGTGCTCAGCTTTCTTGATGGTCCAACTCTCACATCCATACATGACTACTGGAAAAACCACAGCTTTGACTAGATGGATCTTTGTCAACAGTAATCTCTGCTTTTTAATATGCTGTCTAGGTTGGTCATAACTTTTCTTCCAAGGAGCGTCTTTTAATTTCATGGCTGCAGTCACCATCTGCAGTGATTTTGGAACCCAAGAAAATAAAGTCAGCCACTGTTTCCACTGTTTCCCCAACTATTTGCCATGAAGTGATGGGACCAGATGCCATGATCTTAGTTTTTTGAATGTTGAGTTTTAAGTCAACTTTTTCACTCTCCTCTTTCACCTTTATCAAGAGGCTTTTAGTTCCTCTTCGCTTTCTGCCATAAGGGTGGTGTTATCTGCGTATCTGAGGTTATTGATATTCCTCCCAGCAATCTTGATTCCAGCTTGTGCTTCATCCAGTCCGGCATTTCCCATCATGTACTCTACATATAAGTTAAATAAGCAGGGTGACAATATACAGCCTTGACGTACTCCTTTCCCAATTTGGAACCAGTCCATTGTTCCATGTTTGGTTCTAACTGTTGCTTCTTGACCTGCATACAGATTTCTCAGGAGGCAGGTCAGGTGGCCTGGTATTGAGCCACACAGTCAAAGGCTTTGGAACAGAAATCCTAATGGGGGTGGAAAGTTTCATGCAATGATACAGAGCCCTGTTAGAAAGTTCTCAAATGAAGCAAGTCTGCCTCCCTGAAATATCACAAGATCTCAAAGATGAAGCCCAATACCCAGTGAGGCTTGGTGGTGTTGAGAATTACCTCTGCTGCTGCTGCTGCTGCTGCTAAGTCGCTTCAGTCATGTCCAACTCTATGTGACCCCATAGACGGCAGCCCACCAGGCCCCCCCCCCCACTTCCCTGGGATTCTCCAGGCAAGAACACTGGAGTGGGTTGCCATTTCCTTCTCCAATGTATTAAAGTGAAAAGTGAAAGTGAAGTCGCTGAGTTGTGTCCAACTCTTAGCAACCCCATGGACTGCAGCCTACAAGGCTCCTCTGTCCATGGGATTTTCCAGGCAAGAGTACTGTAGTGGGGTACCATTGCCTTCTCCAAGAATTACCTCTGAAACCAGTCAAAAGCGAAGATCAGAGCACAAACTCCATTACTTACTAACTATATAACTTCAGTGTCTTCATCTACAAAATGGAAGTGGTCACTTTGTAAGGTCACTCTCAGGACTAATAAAACCAAGTATAGAAAATTACTTTGAGACAGGGTGGGATAGATCTAAGTTTCATCTCAGTTGTCTCATGTGCTACATGTATGGCCTTAGGATAGGGTGACCATATATCCTGATTTGCCTAGGACAGTCCCAGTTTATGCTATTGTCCTGACTAAAAGCATTCTGGTCAGGTGATATGATCATCCCACTTTGGCAAAGCCCATCACCTCTCAGGTTTTCTGATCCACCAACAGTATGGTAATACTGTTTCCATGTTGTAGAGCCCTCTTCTACCATGCAGCCCACTCAAATACTTGCCCATAGGGCCATGTCTCACCTGGGTTTTCTAGGGCCCAGGACATGAAAGAGGACGTTTGTTTATTTAGCACCATGAACAATCAGCCACTTGAGTGGGACTTCCACATCTACTCCATCAAAATAACACAGTCAGGGTAGCTACCATTTACCCAGCAGGGAAAGTACAATGTGCTTGGTACAAATTTCTCACGTAACCTGACAGTAGCCCTATAAGGTTGGTTGTTCTAATGTGGAGACTAAGCAGTAACACTCCTTTTTCCTCTGAGTGTGGAACGATTGAGAAATAAGACGAAAGAATCAGACAATGGATATTTACAAGTCAATTTTATTACTAATATGTCAGTTGAAGAGGGTGCTGTAGATCTGGAGCCAAAAATTTGGTTTAGATTTACTAAATCCTTTACCTTAGAATTAGCCAGCCTTGGGAACTCTCCTACACTGTTGGTGGGAATGTATGATGGTGCAGCCACTGTGGAAAACAGTATGGAGGGTCCTTAGAAAACTAAAACTAGAATTAACACATGATTGATCCAGCAATCCCATTCCTGGGCATATTTCCAGACAAAACCAAAATTCAAAGATCCATGCACCCCCATGCTCATAGCAGCACTATTCGCCATAGCCAAGACATGGCAACAGCCTAAACATCCATCTTTATACAGGAATGGATAAAGAAGATGTGGTACATGTATACAGTGGAATATTACTCAGGCATAAAAAGAATGAAATAATGCCCTTTGCAACAACAGGGAAGCAACCAGAGATTATCATACTAAGTGAAGCACATCAGCAGCGGGTTTGGGGAGAAATGGAATGGAAGGTTAGAGTTAGCAGATTTAAACTTTTATATACAGAATGGATAAACATCAAGGCCCTACAGTATAGCACAGCGAATTATATTCAATACCCTATTATAAAACATAATGGAAAAGAATATTTTATAAAAAGAATCTGTAAATATATAACTTAATCACTTGGCTCTAGAGCAGTAATTTACATAGCATTGTGAATCAACTATACTTCAATTAAAAAAAAAGAAAGAATTAGCCACTTGAGTAT